ATGCCACCAACACTGCTGGCGCGCAACCTTGCTGACTGACTGCATCGTCCAGGTCGTCTACGTCAGCTGCCTGCTCTTCACGGTTGGCTCCATTGTCTGCGCCGTGGCCCAGAACTTCACCGTCCTCCTCATCGGCCGCAGCATCCAGGGCATCGGGGGCGGCGGCATCATCGCCCTCAGCGAAGTCATCGTCACCGACCTCGTGCCCCTCGCCGTCCGTGGCCAGTGGCTGTCCATCCTCTCGGCCATGTGGGCCATCGGCACCGTCGCCGGGCCCCTCATGGGTGCCGGCTTTGCCCAGCACGCCACCTGGCGCTGGATCTTCTGGATCAACCTGCCCCTGATGGCCGTCGGCGTCCTCATGATCTACTTCTTCCTCAATCAGACCGAGCTGCCCGGCAACCTGCGCACCAAGCTCGCGCGCTTCGACTGGTTCGGCAGCTTCCTCTTCACCGCCGGCTCCACCATTCTGCTGTTCGGCATCTCGACCGGCGGCGTCATGTACGACTGGGGCTCCTTCCGCACCCTTCTGCCCCTGATCCTCGGCATCCTCACCCTGCCCGTGTTCGCCTACTGGGAGCTCCACTGGGCTAAAGAGCCCGTCATTGACAGAGGCATCTTCCGAAACTGGACCATGATTGCCAACTACATCATGACCGTCTTTCACGGCATGATCCTTTGTCGCTCATCTACTTCCTCAGTATGCTCCTCCCCCCCCCCCATTGTCTATTGGCGTTCCCCCCCCCTCCCATCTGACCCACGCCCCCAGTTTTGTACTACCAAGGCGGCAAGTTCTACTCCCCCATCATCTCCGCCCTCGCCTGGCTCCCCGAAAGCCTGACCGTCGCCCCCGCCGGCATCGTTGTCGGGGTCATCGCCGCCATCAAGGGCCACTACCGATGGTCGCTCTGGACGGGCTGGGCGCTGAAGACGCCCGGGCCCGGCCCCCTCTATCTCCTGAACCCCGACACGGCCGTCCGCCATTGGATCCCGGTTAACCTTCTCATGGGGGCGGCACGGGAGGGTCTTCCCCGCCAGGGGCCCTTTTTATCCAGGCGGGTTGGGCAAGCAATTAAACGCCTAGAACTTGGGTTATAGGGTTTCCTGGGACGTTTGGACAGACGTCGGTT